AGTGGATTAGATTAGAGTCCACTAGTTAGGCTTTGGCTCAAGAGCTGGGTGGGCTACTTTGATCTGGTCTCAAGAGCTGGTTGGCTACCTGGGCCTGAGCTTGGCCACTGAGTAGGCTAGCATAGTCTCAGCCTGAAAAATTAATAGGCTATTGAGGCCTAGGCTCCAGTGCTTAGTCGGTTAGCTGGGCTTGGGCTCGAGAGCTGTGTAGGTTAGCTGTTTGAGCTATCTGGTCTTGATCTTGACAGATGAGTGGGCTAGCTTAACCTCAGTCTGACAAATTAGTGGACTATCTGGGCCTGGTCTTGACATTTGAGTGAGTTACCTGGGCCTGGATTCAAGAGCTGGGTGGGTTAGCTGGGTCTGGGCTCAAGAGCTGGGTGGGCTAGCTGGGTCTGGGATTAAGATCTGGTTGGCAAGCTAGGCCTCAGCCTGAAAAATGAATAGGTTATCTAAGCCTAGACACAAGAGTGGGTTAGCTGGGCATAAGCTCAAGAGATGGGTGGGTTAGATGTGCCTGAGCTAAAGAGCTGAGTGGTCTAACTGGACTCATGAACTAGTTGGGTTGGTTAGTTGAGCCATGTGAGCCTCAGCCTGAAAAATGAGTTGGCTATCTAGGCCTAGGCTCAAGAGTTCAGTGGGCTAGGTGGGCCTAGGTTCAAGAACTGAGTGGGTTAGCTGGGCCTGGGCTTAAGAGCTGAGTGAGCTAGCTGAACCCAAGAACTAGGTAGGATATTTGGGCCTGGGCTTGAGAGATGCATGAGATAGCTTGGACCTTGTCTTGTCAGGTGAGTAGGGTAGCTGGGTCTGGGCTGGAGAGTTGTTTAGGCCGGTTGTCTCGCTGAACAGTCTAGGGTGACAAGCTGTGACTGTGGACATCTAATACATGATAGAAGTCATCCTCATCCACACCCAAGCGGAGCACAGACAGGAAAGAGAGACAGATGGAGAGCTAGTAGGTGGGCCTGTTCTCCACACAGGACATTTGCTGTTCTCCTGACCACTGCCAATGTGCAACTAGTCCCAAGAAATTTCAGGGTACAACTGCTGCTCAGACACTGCTGAGGCCATTCTCTGGACTCAGCTAGAGGATAAGTCTATTGTTTCTATGTGTTCATCAGATGATGGTGGATCCGTCATGTCCCATGTCCGTCTTCCTCCTCCATCATCATATCCGTCTTCTTCCTCCATCGTCATGTCCGTCTTCTTCCTCCATCGTCATGTCTGTCTTCTTCCTCCATGAAGTTGAATAATAGCTTGTAACTGACAAGCTCCCCAGCAAACTATCGGCCCATAACAGGCTGGTATTTTTCATGTAATTAGGAATTGCTGTTTTTTGCCAGGTGATAATTTTACTTGGGAGCCTCTGGGTAGGGTAGCCACCTCAATCCTTTAAAACCGAACACATATTAATGACATGGGTTCTGAGGCTAATTTGATGCAGATGAGGCACTAGGTGACCAAGTTCATCAGCCACAGGACCTGTGTAATTAATATGTGTTCAGTTTTAAAGGGATGAGGTGGTAACCCTACCTCGAGGACATCCCGGAAGATTTGCCTCTACTGCTGTTATTCAGGGGAGAAAACCAAGTGTCTGCCTTGTTTTTCGGGTGACTTTATACGTATACAACTGTAAGGACATACAGTATATACACAAAGCACAAGGCCGTGTTCACACTACGAAATGTTCCTCGGAGCTCCACGAGGTGGTAATCTCACTTCTACCCAGACAGGAAGTCTCTATGGAAGACAGGAAGTGATGTCAGATAAAGACAGGAAGTGATGTCAGGTATAAATAGGAAGTTCCAAGTGAGTCGGGAGGAAGACTTTGCTGGAAGTGGCACCAGAGGAGGTAATAATATCTTAATTTCTATTTACACCCAGTAACCTCCCCCCCCCCACATCTTGTCTGTCTTCTTCCTTCATCATCATTTCCTTACTCTTCCTTCATAGTCATGTCCGTCCTATTCCCCCATCGTCATGTCCGTCTTCTGCCTCTAATGTCATGTCTGTCTTCTTCCTCCATTGTCATGTCCGTCTTCTTCCTCCATTGTCATGTCTGTCTTCTTCCTCCATCGTCATGTTCGTCTTCTTCCTCCATAGTCTTGTATGTCTTCTTCATCCATAGTCACGTCTGTCTTCTTCCTCCATCGCCATGTCCGTTTTCTTCCTCCATCGCCATGTCTGTCCTCTTCCTCCATCGTCACGCCCGTCCTCTTCTTCCGTAGTCACTGTGGCGTCTTTTATCTCAAGCAGATGATGATACACACATATATAGTGTGGAACCCGAGATTAAACCCTTCAGGGGCAGAACATTTCCCCACTTACGGGGCCGGAACATTTCTGTTGTTTTGGAGACCTTCTCACCTCAGCAGTAATGAGGAATGAGATTTGGGTTGGGGTTGAGTATGAGTTCCACTGAAACCATGCCTGTCTGCAGTGCAGTGAATGGACAAACAAAACTGCCCATATTCTGACTGAGGTCTGTCATTTGGTGGCGGTAGCATTATTTCTGCTGACATGACAGATCCCAGTTGACTTTCTGTACTTATTAATAACAGTAAATTAATATTCTGTTGTGTTTTTGTTGAACTGCGAGGTCTTATATTGGTTCATGATATGAGTTTCTGTCATAATTTCTATCTTTATATATTTATGTATCACTTTTATGCCCAACCTAATATTGTACAACAAATATAGTCCAGATATTTCTGCATTATTCATCTACAGAGAAAACCGCATAGATCTCATGACCACATCAATGAAGATGGAGAAGGACCAGAGTCACATGACTGAGAGGATACTAAACCTCACCCTGGAGATAATCCACTTGCTGACCGGAGAGGTGAGGATTCTGGGAGGTCACATGACATCACTCTTATCTCTATTAATAAAACACAGACCTGACCGGAGAGGTGAGGAGGATTCTAGGAGGTCACATGAGATCACTCTTATCTCTATTAATAAAACAGACCTGACTAGAGAGGTGAGGAGGATTCTGGGAGGTCACTTGACAAAACTCTTATCTCTATTAATAAAACACAGACCTGACCAGAGAGGTGAGGAGGATTCTGGGAGGACACATGACATCACTCATCTCTATTAATAAAACACAGACCTGACCAGAGAGGTGAGGAGGATCCTGGGAGGTCACATGACATCACTCAGCTCTATTAATAAAACACAGCCCTGACTGGAGAGGTGAGGAGGATTCTGGGAGTCTAACATGATATTCCTATTGGTTCCCCAATACAGAGTTTTCGTCTTCTGAAGTCAGGTGACTATATGACCATCATAGTGCCTCCATGTGACTCCCTAAACCCTGAGAGACACAACATGCAGAAGATTCTAGAAGTCACTAAGAAGATGATGGAGCTGCTGACAGGAGAGGTGAGAGGTGCCGGGAATTCTGGGACATTCTCCAGTAACAGACAAGGGATGTGTCTGGATGGTGACTGTATCATTGTGTGTGTCAGGTTCCTATAAGGTGTCAGGGTGTCACTGTCTATTTCTCCATGGAGGAGTGGGAGTATTTAGAAGGACACAAGGACCTCTACAAGGACGTCATGATGGACAATCAGCCGCACCTCACATCACCGGGTAAGAGGAGACTTTATTGGAAAGGAGAGAACAGTATGGAGGCTCCACCGAGATCCCCCATCATCTGATAAACACGTAGAAACAATGGATTCAGTCAGTGTGTGTGTTTCCTACAGATGGATCCAGTCATGGGAACCCACCAGAGAGATGTCCCCGTCCTCTGTATTCCCAAGATTCCACACAGAAAGGTCACACCATCCCTCACCATCATCAGGTAGATGGATCCAGTCATGGGAACCCACCAGAGAGATGTCCCCATCCTCTGTATTCCCGGGATTCCACACAGAAAGGTCACACCATCCCTCACCATCAGCAGGTAGATGGATCCAGTCATGGGAACCCACCAGAGAGATGTCCCCGTCCTCTGTATTCCCGGGATTCCACACAGGAAGGTCACTCCATCCCTCACCATAAGCAGGTAGATGAGGAACAATTTTTGGTAGTTGTGATTTCTATGCAAGCTTGTTTGATACTATGAATATTTTATTCTATCTTTCAGAGTGGAAGCTTCGTTAATGACAATATTGTTGTTAAAGAAGAGTATAAAGAAGATTATGAGGAGTATGGTGTGATGAAGGATCTTTCTGAAGGACACAATGATTCCTCCAAGGACATTATGATGGAGCCATCTGATACCAGGAACCCACCAGAGATATGTCCCTGTCCTCTGTATTCCCGAGATTCCACACAGGAAGGTCACACCATCCCTCACCATCATCAGGTCGGTGGAGTTGAGGGTCGGGAACATAAAGTGATGGAACACTCTGACATGTAGAGACGATGTGTGGACTCTACAAGATGAGATGTTCTATGTGATCTCACATCATAAATCCTTCTATGTTACAGATGTTATTTTCTGCCATTCTGTTGGTTTAGGGTGAAGATCTGATGAACATGAAAGTTGAGGGTGAAGTAGAAGAGACGTATGTGAGGGATGATCAGCAATATATGGAGGAGGCTGGAATGAGGAGGACATTCATAGAGGAGGACACTCCTACAGAGATCAGCACAGGTGACCAGAATATATTCTTCTCTTTTCTCTGCTCTGTTACCGCCCCCCCCCCCCAGCCCCCATTGGTTCCTGCTCCTCTGACAAGGTGGTGTAAATGTAGAAGTGATCTGGGAGGAGGAGCAAAGGCCCTTTGACTGAAGAGGGGAGGAGTCCCAGCTGGTTGGGGCATCCACAGAGAACAACTGCTCCCTCCTGTCTCCCTGATCCAGATGGAATCTTGATGGAAGTGAACTAACCCTCTCCTATCTATTGATGATATTTTTCTATTTTTCCAGGACCCGCCATGGAGAAACCCTCAAAGGATCGTCTCACTTTATCTCCAGGTTGTAAAATGAAAGATGAGGACATCCCAGGAGATTGTGCCGGACAAAAGACAATGAGCTCCACTATGGATGGTGGACTTCCCAGTGTGGAGAGACCATGGGATCCCTCTGACTCTGAGCAACCCCGTGCTTTGGGGGATGGGGCCGGGGTTCAGGAAGAAAATAATTTTTGTTGTCCTGGATGTGGGGAAAGTTTTCACAATCAACTATGTTTTTTTGTAGATCAAAGAGATCACAAGGGTGAGAAGCCGCAACCCTGCCTTGAGTGCGGGAAATGTTTTTCAGATAAGAGCAGTAGTTCCACGCATCAGACATTACACACAGGCAGGAAGTCATATTCCTGTCCTGAGTGTGGAAAAAGTTTTACACACAAATCAGACCTTGTTATACATCAGAGATCTCACACAGGTGAGAAGCCGTATTCCTGCCCTGAGTGTGGGAAATGTTTTTCACAGAAGTCCGTACTTAACAGACATCGGAGAATCCACACAGGTGAGAGGCAGTATTCCTGTCTTGAGTGTGGGAAATCTTTTTCGTGGAAATCCAATCTTATTGAACATCAGATATGCCACTCGCAGGAAAAGCTATTTTCCTGCCCTGAGTGCGGGAAATGCTTTTCAAGGAAATCTGCACTTGTCAGACATAAAAAATCTCACACAGGGGAGATGATCTATTCCTGTCCAGAGTGCGGGAAGTGGTTTTCGCAGAAGTCCCATCTTTACACACATCTGAGAACCCACACAACCCTTGTATTGGTGTCCTGAGCGTGGGAAATGTCTTCTGTATGGATGATATGTTGCCGGACATCAGAGATCTCACACTGGGAAGAAGCACACCTTGATATACACCTCAGAAAACACATGGCTGAGCGCTCCTCTGATCTTTATCATGGAAGAAACACTTTATAGGAAGATCAGAGATCACTAAAGACTTCAACGTTGTGTCTGGCTCCCTCTGCTAGGAGAAGGAGGGGGGGGTCACTGCTGGTTGGGTCCCTCTAGCAGTGTAGTTTGATCTCCCCTGACCTTTAGCAGAAGATTCCATGGAGGACATCATGGTGAGAGAGAAGGAGGGGGGGTCACTGCTGGTTGGGTCCCTCTAGCAGTGTAGTCTGATCTCCCCTGAACTTCAGCAGAAGCTTCCATGGAGGACATCATCGTGAGAGAGGAGCTAGGTATTGCTTGTGGATGAAGAGAAGGGGAGATCAGACTACATGACAGAAATGACCATTTCAGTGCAGTAGTTCTTAAGCCAGCAGAAGTTGCTTCATTTGCTTGGTGACTGCCCCCTGCTGGCTGAATGTGGAAAACATGACATTTTTAGATGTAACATTTTATATTTACCTGATAAAAAAAATGTAAATAAATTAGCACCTTCTTAGTAATAACTGAAGATTAAATATTTATATTCTTAAACTCATGATGTTCTCTGTAAGTTGGTTGATAAAAGTCTTCCTTCAGATTTGTGTGATGAAATGTTCTCCTTTATTTATTTCTCTAACACTACAAGTACAACCCATCCTGTAGGTTTTAGTCTCCATCTTGTGTCTTAGTAGTTTGGTGTTCCCAGCTTGTCCTTGTTGGAACAGCCGACTCTCCCCCTTCTCATAGACCTCAGGATGTCTGTACTATACTCAAATGAAAAGTCCATCAGTCCATAGACCCATCTATCATTCCACCCGTAATTCCTCCTCCGCACCATCACCACCTCCAACCTCAAGATCATCTTTCTTCCTCACTTTCACATCACATCTAACATAGAGAAACCCCCCTCCATCTTTTCTATGTCCCGTGTCCTTCTAAACAAGAGGATCAGGATGAATACAAACAGCCCAGTCTTGGGAGGAACCAAGCCGTGTTTCTGGAACACCAACTCCATTCTCATCACTGACACCACCAACATCTCCCATTCTGCTTGGCAAGTTGCTTGCTTGGCTGATTCTGACTCAACACTGTGTGTGTCTCTATCCTGAGATTGTGCATGTGTCTATGACCGGACGTTGTGTGTATATCTTCATATATGACTTGCACCCATGTGTTCTCAAAGAGTTGAGTTCTGTTATTTCAAACTCTGGTTCTCATTTTTAGAGACTCTTTTTAATGACTGGCTCGGTGCTACTATACTGGAGCAAAGCCAATGCGGTGTCTATATTTAAAAAGGGGGTCATCCTCTTTACCAAGTAACTATAGACCGGATATTTTCACTTTTGTAGTTGGGAAGATATTGGAGAGGTTTATAAAAGACCTCACAGAAGATTTTTTGCTAAAAAACAAATATTTTAAGCAACAGACAGCATGGATTCACGAAAGACACAAGTTGTCAAACAAATCTGATTTCTTTTGATGAGGAGGTGAGAAAAAACCTTGGAGAAAGGGGTGGCTGTGGATATTTTAGAGTTGGAGAAAGATAGTGTTCAGAGAGTAGTGGTTAATGATTCATACTCTGAATGGTCTAGGGGTGTCAGTGGTGTATCCCAAGGTTCAGTATTATTAGTGGGGTACCCAAAGGTTCAGTGTTGTTAGTGGAGTACCCCAAGGTTCAGTGTTAGTGGGGGACTGCAAGGTTCAGTGTTATTAGTGGAGGACCCCAAGGTTCAGTGTTATTGGTGGGGGACCCCAAGGTTCAGTGTTGTTAGTAGGGGACCGTGTTACTAATGATATACCCCAAGGTTCAGTGTTATTAGTGGGGTACCCCAAGGTGTTCAGTGTTGTTTATTAGTGGGGACCGCAAGGTTCAGTGTTCATTAGTGGGGGGCCCCAAGGTTCATTATTATTAGTGGGGTACCAAAGGGTTCAGTGTTGTTAGTGACGTACCCCAAGGTTCAGTGTTATTGGTGGGGGACCCCAAGGTTCAGTGTTGTTACGGGGGGGACCGTGTTACTAATGATATACCCCAAGGTTCAGTGTTATTAGTGGGGGACCCCAAGGTTCAGTGTTGTTAGTAGGGTACCCCAAGGTTCAGTGTTCTTAGTGGGGAACCGTGTTACTAATGATATACCCCAAGGTTCAGTGTTATTAGTGGGGGACCCCAAGGTTCAGTGTTAGTGGGGTACCCCAAGGTTCAGTGTTATTAGTGGGGTACCACAGGGTTCAGTGTTGTTAGTGTGGGGACCTCAAGATCCAGTGTTATTAGTGGGGTAACCCAAGGTTCAGTGATAGTGGGGTACCCCAAGGTTCAGTGTTATTGGTGGGGGACCCCAAGGTTCAGTGTTGTTAGTAGGGTACCCCAAGGTTCAGTGTTATTGGTGGGGGACCCCAAGGGTCAGTGTTGTTAGTAGGGTACCCCAAGGCTCAGTGTTATTGGTGGGGGACCCCAAGGTTCAGTGTTGTTAGTGGGGGACCGTGTTACTAATGATATACCCCAAGGTTCAGTGTTATTAGTGGGGGACCCCAAGGTTCAGTGTTAGTGGGGGACACCAAGGTTCAGTGTTATTGGTGGGGGACCCCAAGGTTCAGTGTTATTAGTGGGGTACCACAGGGTTCAGTGATATTAGTGGGGTACCCCAAGGTTCAGTGTTATTAGCGATTACATAGTTACATAGTTAGTCTGGCTGAAAAAAAGACAAAAGTCCATCCAGTTCAACCATTAAAAAAAAAAAAAAAAAAAAGAAAGAATCCTATACCCACAGTTGATCCAGAGGAAGGCAAAAAAAACCCCCAGCAAAGCACAATCCAATTGGCTCCTGCAGGGAAAAAATTCCTTCCTGATCCCCCGAGAGGCAATCGTATATTCCCTGGATCAACTTTCCCTATAAATGTTATATTCTGTGTATCCAAGAAAGAATCCAGGACTTTCCTGCAGCAATCCACTGAGCTGGCCACAACCAACTCTTGAGGGAGTCTATTCCACATTCTCACAGCTCTTACTGTGAAGAAACCTTTCCATGTTTGGAGATTACATTTCTTTTCCTCCAGATGTAAAGAGCGCCCCCTTGTCCTTTGTGATGACCTCAGGGGGAATAACTACACCAAGCTCACTATATGAACCACTGAGGGATTTATACATGGAGATCATATCCCCCCTTATGTATTATACATGGAGATCATATCCCCCCCCCCCCCCCCCCCCCTATGTATTATACATGGAGATCATATCCCCCTTATGTATTATACATGGAGATCATATCCTCCCTTATGTATTATACATGGAGATCATATCCCCCCTTATGTATTATACATGGTGATTTGGGACTGGAAGGACAGATGGGAGTCTAGGATTACACCCAGTACCCTGGCATGAGGGGAGGGACTGATGATTTTGTTATTGATCTTGATGGAGAAGTCAGGGGAGGGGGCATGGGCTGGGGGGGAATACTAAAAGCTCAGTTTTGGAAAGATTGAGTTTGAGGAAGTGGAGTGACATCCATGCCGATATGTCGCTTAGTAGGTTAGTAATGCAAGAGGAGACTGAAGGGTGAGGTGAGGAGGAGACTGAAGGGGTGAGGTAAGGAGTACAAAGATAGATATGTGTGTCATCAGCATAGAGATGGTACCTAAAGCCATGGGAGTTTATCAAGTGACCAAGGGAGGAGGTGTAGATGGAGAAGAGAAGGGGTCCAAGGACAGAACCTTGAGGACCCCTACAGAAAGAGGGAGTGGAGAGGAGGAGACAGAGTTATAGGTAATGCTGAAGGAGCGCTGCATTACGTAGGAGGAGAACCAGGAGAGAACAGAGTCTCGGAGGCCAAGAGAGTGGAGTTTGTTGAGGAGGAGGGGATGGTTAACAGTATCAAAAGCCGCAGAGAGGTCAAGTAGTAAGCGTACGGAGTAGTGGCCATTGGTTGGATAAGTATGGAGTAGTGGCGGTTAGGATGAGTTTGGAGTAGTGGCCATTGGTTGGGATGAGTACAGAGTAGTAGCCATTGGTTGGGATGAGTATGGAGTAATGGCCATTGGTTGGGATGAGTACGGAGTAGTGGCCATTGGTTGGGAATAGTACGGAGTAGTGGCCATTGGTTGGAAGGAGTACGAAGCAGTAGCCATTGGTTGGGATTAGTATGGAGTAGTGGTCATTGGTTGGGATGAGTATGAAGTAGTGGCCATTGGTTGGGATGAGTACGGAGCAGTAGCCATTGGTTGGGATGAGTACGGAGTAGTGGCCATTGGTTGGGATTAGTATGGAGTAGTGGCCATTGGTTAATGGAGTAGTGGCCATTGGTTAAGGTGAGTATGGCCCATTGGTTGGGATGAGTATGGAGTAGCGGCCATTGGTCGGGATGAGTACGGAATAGTGGCCATTGGTTGGGATGAGTATGGAGTAGTGGCCATTGGTTAGGATGAGTATGGAGTAATGGCCATTGGTTGGGATGAGCACAGAGTAGTGGCCATTGGTTGGGATGAGTACGGAGTAGTGGCCATTGTTGGGATGAGTACGGAGTAGTGGCCATTGGTTTTAACAGTTAGTAGATCATTAGTGAGTTTTAGTAGGGCAGTTTCAGTGGAGTGTAGTGAGCAAAAGCCAGACTGTGAAGGGTGAAGAAGGTTGTTGTCAGTGAGGTAGGAACTCAGGCGATTGTACACTAAGCGTTCTAAGAATTTAGAAGTAAATGGCAGCAGGGAGATGGGTCTTAAGTTGTTCATGTTGGTGGGGTCAAGGGAGGGCTTTTTAAGTATGGGAATGATGTGCGCATGCTTTAGAGGGGAGGGGAAGGCACCGTTAGA